TGTATTTTGTTATGTCATACAATATGTCGTAATCGCTATTAAAAATCAATTTGCTAACCCTGGAAAGGAGAAAGAGGGTGAATACTTTATGACGTAGTACAAATTGAATTCATTCGATTTTATTACTCAAGTTTAAATAATATTTTATTTGATGTAATCATAAAATTCAGCCTAACTTGCTTTATATATGCAGATAATATTGAGTCTGGGTCTGTATTTAGAAATCAATATTACGTAATTATTTAATTGTTATTAATTATTATTCTTACTTTTTTTTTTTTTTACTTTCATCTCTTATTTACAAATACTGTATATAGACTCGCAATATAAGAGTTATATAAATATATATAATGTGTAATACTGTATATGTATGTATAAGTGCAAAAACACGTCCTACAAATAAGCAGATGTGCACGTGTCCCGTGCACTCTTTAAAGTAATAATTTGAATAAAAAAATATTGTTTCAGAATTGTTTAACATGTGAAAAGTAAAAAAAGAATGAAAACCTTTTATAGAATTTTTTTTGGTTGGACACACACAACAGATGTTCCTTAAAAGTACTAATGAGATAAGATGGTGATTATAAAGTTTGTAAACATAAACTTCGATCTAATCAAATTGGCTGAATTCTCTTGCGTCTATCGTACAAATTCCAGTTATAATGTGACGCTGAATTACTATTCCATTCGATTTAAGGAAACTATTTTATTTCAAAGGAAAAGGAAATGTTTACATACAAAATTGACACAAAATTGACACAAACTAACCCTTTAAACCGATACGTGGTGTTCAGTGCGAGAATGAATTCGAGTTCGCGAATATAGAAATCATAGAAAAATGAACGGAACGATGACCAAGAATATTTTATTTGTAAATATTTTGAGAATAACAAACTTTTGACGATCGAAACCGAAATAAATTGTTTCCGAGGTGCTGACTAATACGATCATCGAAACATCAGAATAATGGTCATAATTATCAGGATATTAACTGACGAGTCACATGAAGTTAGTCAAATATCCGTATTATATCTTTCCAATGAGATTCAATGATGTCATTAGCAAACATGTCACATATGACGTTAATAATATGTCATAGTTTCTCTTTACAAGTATTATAAATATCTTTTTCCATCTTCGTAGATCATAATCACTCTCCCTTTTTTTTTCAATTAGATAAATTATTTTGATTTTGTTCGATTGTAAAACAGTGATGAACCAATTTGCGCAACAAAGTTTTGCCCGTTATCCTCAAACGTTTCACAATACCGAAAGAAAACAAGCGAGTAATGTTAACGCTATTACCTTTTTTAATGCTCCTTTCAATTCTCCGGTTGTTCAAGTTTCCACAGGACCAAGATACAATAACGTGCTACCACCACCTAACCCTGCCAGTAATAGTAATATTCATCCACCTCATCTTCCACCTCTAAACCTACCAAAAAAACTCGAAAATCAGCCAC